TCTCTATTCTTTCACAGTGGTGTTTTGCTATATATATATATTATATATATATATATATATATTATATATATATATATATATATACATATATATATATATATATATATATATATATATATATATATATATTATATATAATATATATTGGCAGTTTGGAGGGATATGTTGTGTATCTTTATACGTATATGCTTCTAAGCTGTTGTATTCTGAGCACCTCTGCAAAAGCAGTGATAATGTGTGAGTGTGGTGAAAGTGTTGAATGATGATGGAAGTTATTTCTTTTTGGGGATTTTCTTTCTTTTTTGGGTCACCCTGCCTCGGTGGGAGACGACCGACCTGTTGAAAAAAAAAAAAAAAAAAAAAAAAAAAAAAAAAATATATATATATATATATATATATATATATATATATATATATATATTATATATATATATATATATATATATATACAATAAGATCACAGTAAACAGGTGATTTCAGAATATGCAAAACAACCACTCTGAAAGAATAGAGAAATTCCAAGCGCTTTCGTGACTACTCACATTAATAATGTGAGTAGTCACGAAAGCGCTTGGAAAATTTTTCTATTCTTTCATAGTGGTTGTTTTGCTATATATATATATATATATATATATATATATATATATATATATATATATATATATATATATATATATATATATATATATATATATATATATATATATATGGAAAACAACCACGGGAGGAGTAGAATGACAGCTCTGGTCTTTCGTTTTGCAAACAACACATCATCAGGAGCTCTGGTCCTCTGGGAACATGCTTGCTTGGACTTCCTCCTCTTTTCGGCAAGACTCACGAAATCGTAATGACACGATTGCAAACAAACCATACCACGGGTGGGACTTGAACCCGCGGTCAGAGAGTCTCAAAACTCCAGACCGTCGCATTAGCCACTGGCTAACATGTACAAGGTATACAGATCTAGCTGACATCAGTGGCATACTACTATATAGAAAGTCCATTGTTATGCTGAGCATTTCGAGAAAACTGGGTCAGTTTTGTCCCAGGATACGATCCACACCAGTCGACTAACACCCAGGTACACATTTTAATGATCAATCAATCAATCAAGTTTATTCTCTATAAGGATTACAATGCGGGGTTTACATATTTTGGTTATTGTCTGGTTTACATGTAATAAAAAACTAATTACAGAGGGGGCCACTAGGACACCTAGCATGGCTAGGCATTTCGGGCAAACTTAGATTAATTCTTAGCCCTAAATTATTACAAATTATGGTGTAAGTTGATTAAATACTAAGTAACTAAATACTAGTTTGTGAGTTTAGCAATGTGAATGCTTTTGTTTTGGCACAATACTTAGTTTCTATATTGGAGTATCACAGGCAAACTTATGACTAGTTAGGAATCATTATTTTAAGATTAAGATTCGTATTTCTGTGCTTATTGTCAAATGGGTGAGTGAGTGTGTGAACCACCAGGTGGTTTTTATGTAGTTAGTTGATGGGGTGTATCAGGGAGATAAGATGTTTTCTAACGGTAGTTTTGAAGGTGATGAATGTGTCTGCAGTTCTAGAGTTTTCAGGTAGGGTGTTCCAGATTTTAGGGCCTTTGACATACATTGAATTTTTGTAAAGGTTTAGTCAGACACGGGGAATGTCGACGACATCTCTACGACATTATGTCGTAGAGATGTTTGTGTCTGGTGTTATGCCTGTGGGTCTTGTCACAACTATCAAGAAAGCGTTTTATGTCAATGTTAATATTGGAATTTAAGGTCCTGTAGGTGTAGATTGCACAGTAGTAAGTGTGGATGTTCTGAACAGGGAGTAAGTTTAGATCTATGAAGAGTGGGAAGGGGGGTGTTGCCAGGGATGGGATTTAGTGATTATTCTTACTGCGGCTTTTTGTTGGGTTATTTTTGGCTTTAGGTGTGTTGCTGCATTTGATCTCCAAGCACAAATAGCATAGGTGAGGTATGGATAAATGAGTGAATGGTATAGTGTGAGAAGGGCATTTTGCGGCACGTAGTATCGTATCTTGGAGAGGATCCCAAGTGTTTTGGATACTTTTTTTGTTATGTGTTGGATATGGGTGCTGAAATTCAGGTTGTTGTCGAGGTATAGGCCTAGGAATTTACCCTCATTATGTCTGGCAATTAGAGTGTTGTTGATCGTAATGTTAAGTTGCACAACACCTGCTCTGCTGCCAAACATAATATAGTAGGTTGACTTAAGAAATCGTAATTATTAATTTTTAGTTCATTGACGGCATTGAAGGCTTGACGCTAATGGTGTAGGGGCCAACTAGTGGAGATTCGTGAAAAACTTGCATTTGATGGTCACAGAGGTTCGGGTGGGTAACTTTGACATGGTTAGAAATAACTCCAAGGACTTGATGCGAACTTCATTAGTGCGGTCTGTGTAAGCGACGGCTGGTGTTTTGGGACATATGAACGCGTATCAATCGAGTCGGGAAATATGCAAGCGATGGCCTTATACCGATAATGGTCAAGTTTGTGAAGTTTATGGCTGGTCATCCAAGTCGAATTTTCTAGCGCTCCATCTACAATATGCCTGTTTGCAATGCGTGTAAAGAATAGCATTTACATGATTAGTGGTTAGAGTTGACATAAGTCGTTGGCGCGAAAGATGAATGGTTTTCAGGTGTTGATAGAATTAATATGATGATAAGAGCTGGGAGAATTTGGATCCATGCGGAACTTCATATCAAGTGCCGTGTTTGATTGTTCTTTAATGGTATATAGTACCATTAGTAATGGTTACGATTTGATAATGCAAGCGATGGCTCGTAACACAAGGTGATTTAAGGAAAGTGAAGTTTGCCCGTGGTCTCTGTGTCAAAAGCTTTTCTATGTCAATAAAAATTCTAGTGGATATTCCTTATTTTCCAATGCTGTGATAAAACAATCTAGCATTTTTCAAGATCATATTATGTTTTATTTTTCCAATAAATTGGGGGTTGAGTACTGTTTGTGACGTTATAAGAAATATCCTGTGCACGAGTTCTCGAGATTTTGGATAGCAATGGTAAGTTTTATATTGGCCTATAGTTGTTTACATCTGTAGGATCACCATCTTTGTGTATTGGTGTAACCCTTGCTGTCTTGAGTAATGAACAGGGGTGGAACAGGGAGAACAAGTGATTTAAGGAAACACGTACTAATGTTTCCACCCGTAACGACGCAAGTGATTTACCCTAACTATGCTCCTATGTAAATAAATGGTATAAAATACCGACACAATGGAAACATAAACACATATGCAGTTTGTTAGGTAAGACACATATGCAACAGTTAGACAACTTTATTCCGAAACGTTTCGCCTACACAGTAGGCTTCTTCAGTCGAATACAGAAAGTAGGCAGGAACAGTAGAGATGTGAAGACGATGTAATCAGTCCATCACCCTTAAAGTCGTTGAATTTGAGGTTGTCAGTCCCTCGGCCTGGAGAAGTTCAGTTCCATAGTCAGGCCGAGGGACTGATCCAACCTCAAAATTCTACGACTTTAAGGGTGATGGACTGATTACATCGTCTTCACATCTCTACTGTTCCTGCCTACTTTCTGTATTCGACTGAAGAAGCCTACTGTGTAGGCGAAACGTTTCGGAATAAAGTTGTCTAACTGTTGCATATGTGTCTTACCTAACAACCTGTCGGTATTGTATACCATTTTGATGTTCATCACATATGCAGTTTAATGTGATCCTTTATTGACAACGTTTCACCCACACAGTGGGCTTTTTCAAGTATGACTTGAAAAAGCCCACTGTGTGGGTGAAACGTTGTCAATAAAGGATCACATTAAACTGCATATGTGTTTATGTTTCCATGCTCCTATGTAACTTTATTCGTGTAGTATATCTAAATAAACTTACTTGATAATCTGCAATAGCGAATGCCTTAGTTGGCTATACGATACACAGAGAATGGGGCAATATGAAGACTGAGGCGCACTATTCAAGGATAAACTCAAAGAAAAATCGGGGCGATTTCTCGTTAGATAAGATTTTGTTCGTTAACCCGGCGAGTTAGCCACCCAGGATAACTCGAGAATGATGGTGTGTCATCGAGGGGCTGTCTGTCCGATTTCCAGTGGGATCCTCAATCTTGTCCCCCAGGATGCGCCCCACACTAGTCGACTAACACCCAGGTACCTACTTTCTTGCTAAGTGAACGCCCAATGTTTACACCTTTGCCGGGGATCGAACCACGTGCACTAAGTGTGTGAAGAGAGAACATTGCCTACCAGGCCACGGGCCACCTGTCATCTACATACAGCTGTTGGCTGCAACGCAAAAGGTGCCTTGAGCAAGTAATCTAATCCCTTTCCCTGTGGTTGATTTGCATATATATACAAATATAAAACAGGGTCTTCACTAAGATCTCTTTTCGATTTCAAATATTTTTTTACAAGAAAATACTAAAAGACATGAAAATGCAGTTTTCTGCATATGATAGTTGAACTAACAGAGCTTTTATATAGCATCACTGTTGTCTAATCTATGTACCCTCAAACTGTGCATTGCTATTAACCCGTAACACATCTAATTGATGCTCCAGTTCACTCCACTTATTGGTCAACATATCCGAGGTGACCTTTCCGAGGCCATCATTTATTCTATACAGTGTGTTTTGATGTCAGTTACTGGTATCTGGAAAATATAGTTCTCCGCAAACCCTTCCCAAGAAGACCAAGGGCATGGTCATCATTTGTTGGGACCAACACGCCCAGTTCATCTACCAGGTATCTTAATTTTACAATAATTACGTTGTCGTGTGTAGAGGGCTGCATTTCTATATATTTTAACATGCTGTTAAATAAGCACTAAGAGTTTAGTAAATCTACTTTCCATTTCAAACACTGTACAGAAGAAAGTCCGAAGGAATTGCCTAAAGAATCTAGATAGAGCGGCTCCAGTGGCTACAGCTAATGTCAGGGTTTCTGCCTAAGCTGGTTTTTACCTTCCTCCTCAGATGGCACTTTCTCAGCGTCGACTTCCCCCGCGGATACATTTTCCACATCATAATTATCTTCAAGCGTGTACAGTCAAAGGCAGGAGCATTGGACGCAAGCCGAACTTATCTTTGCTACCGGTAACGCTTCTTCACAGGCCCAGAAGATGACCATCACATTAAGCATTATCATTAGCAAAGAAGAAGACTAATGCTTCTTCATGAGCTTTTAGGATGACTATGTTGTCTTTGTCTTTGTAATGTGACACTGTCGCACCCACAAAATTATGTGACACTTTGTCTCACCCACAAAATAATGTGACACTGTGTCGCGCCTACAAAATTATGTGACACTATCGCACCCAAAAATTATGTGATACTTTGTCACGCTCTCAAAATTTAATACAGTTCTGTTAAATTGGAGGATATTATATTGCCATCGTATTTGAGATGACACTAAAGTAGCACTCTCTTGGCTTCTCAGAGATGGCCAAATATCATAATTAATGTGTAATGTTCCACATACATTTGTTGTGTTTTATCAAATGACTTCACTTACGAGCATCCAAATTGTTGCAACAGACAATGCAAGGCAGAGACACCTATGTCGCCTTCCACATTTTTGACGCACCTCACTTTCCTCTAATGGATTGAGGCCCCACAGAATCTTTTCCAATGTTACACAGTTAATCGGTACTTACCAAAAGAAAAAAATTAAAGAAAAATCATGGTTTTTAAGCAATAACTAATATATATATATATATATATATATATATATATATATATATATATATATATATATATTATATATATATATATATATATATATATATATATATATATATATATATATATATATATATATATATATATATATATATATATATATATATATATATATATTGGAAAGTATTTACCTTTTATAGTATTTATTTCAAGCTGAACGATATAATTTGATTCATAATTCTTTTTAGTATAAAATCTGGTTCAACAAATATTGAAAAGCATCAGTATGGACTCGTTTGGGCCTCAGCTCCTTAGCCTCACGTAGCACTTTTTTTAAATGACAGCACCTGAGCACCTGTCCCTTTCTCCCTCGCTGTCTGCACTCGTCTTTTTTTCATAAAATGCACTTGTAGCTTTCTAACATCATGGCCTCATTATATACAAATTCATACCATTTCAGATCCATTGTAAGCTACCTATATCTTCTAAGCACATTCCTGACCTGTAGATGTGTACTGCACCAACGAAGCACTGCACCAGCACCGCACTCCGTATATCAGCACCACTTGTGATGTGCATTGCACTCTTGTGTTTTTTTATGTTTATGTATGTACGTACTGTAATATTGATTAGGTTTATACTCGTATGATGACAGTGATATAAATTTGAGACAGTGTACTACTGATATTTTTTTCCTGAAACGTGAATGGCTATCCTTTCAAGTTCAGTCTTTTATTGTATTTTAGATCATTTTAAATAGCATAATTTTTAGTGCTCATTATTACTGAATTTCTTTAATCTCAGCTCAGTAAATTCATTGCTATGATAATCATGCACAAAGCCTCTAATAAGTGTTGTTAATTTTTTTAGCCTTGAACAGAGCATATGAAAAGTTAAGCCAGAATGGTACGCACAGTCCCATTACAACTCCCACAAACAACAGTTTACACTTAGTCTCGGGAATGGTTTACTTATGAGCCTCTAATGTCACACGCCCTCCTTGCAGGTATCCATTGAGCAAGAGATGGAAGTTGTTGTGTCAGAGTCAGTGAGACCTCACATCATTATCATGCTGACTGATGGTCAACCTACTGCAGGAGTCACCTCTCACTCAGCCATTCTAAGGAATGTCAGGGAAAGAAATAAGAAAGGGGCAGCTATTTTTTGCCTTGGCTTTGGCAGTGGAGCAGACATGAATCTGCTTGAAAAAATTTCCCTTCAGGTTGGTTAAAAAGCTTTGTGTCTAAAAGCACTGCAGTAGATTTAAGTTTATACATCTTAACCTGCCTTTAACAGGGCAGTAAATAGTATCTAATAAATCTAAAGGGCTTACTGCCAACAACAGTGATAAAGCCTTAGAGTGAAACTTTACACCAATAAAAGCTTGTTCAACAACCAGTGCCTTTTCTTCAGCATCTATCAATGTTAATAGGGTTAAATTATTTTTAATCACTTTACATAGTCTATTTTCAAGCATTTACATAGTCTTTAGCAGAACTATAAATTACATTTAACAATATGAAACAGTAATTGTCTATGGAACCTATTAATATAGTTTATTTCACTTAGTGTGTTATCTTTCTTTTGCACTTCATACCCACCTTCAGGGAGGAAGTCAGTGGATTACAGCGGCACATGATGGGTACAGGGACTAGCTCCAACATTTGTGTTTACTAAGCAAGTTACATTGGGTAACGAACCATTTACAAAATGCGAGTATATGTGGATACGAGTTATTTATAAATAATTTACAACGAGAAAAGTAATGTACCATAAATTTCTCGCATTCCGACTCATAATGACACAGTTACTCTGCAAAGTTTTCACTTACTGATGCAGACTTCCAGATGTACTTTTATTCCAGCCGAAGGTGGGCGTAGAGATGTCCAAGAGTCTGTTGATTTGATTAAATGTGCCCTAGACATGAGGCTCTATTAGCTTTATAAAATGATGGTAAATTGTGTCAATCTCCCTCTGTATTAAGTTCAACTGATATTCTTTTTCATATTATTGTCCTCATGTTGCTAGCTAATATCTCACTGTTGTTATTTACTTCCTCCAACTCTGTCCTCCATTTGAAGGCCAATGTGAGAGAGTCCGTAATAGACGTAATCCCGACTCCATTGCTGGCAACTATAACATATGTGTGTCTCTGATACAAGCATGCCACAATTAACACTCATGTAGCTAAAAGTTTTCGTGGATGAGAGGCAATCACTTACAATTAAGATGTCAACTTCAGACCTGTGGACACATTCGAGTGCGAGGAATATAGCAAACAGATAAGTCTGAATGATGGAAACCTGAGAGCTGTGTTTTTATTTAGGATCCATTGCTCGGTGGTTTGGTGAACAGTGCCATCAGCATATATAATTTGTGGAGGAGAATGGTGTTTGACTAAGGCATCAGTACAACGTTAAGTATCATGCTTAAATTAAATACTAAGCTTTGTCTTTGATCTAATAAAGATCCTTGTGGGTAAGTGAAGAATACTGATTTGGAAAGAGTTAATTTCCCATAGTGCAGCGAAGTGTCGCTGTTACCTTGACATAGGACTTACACTTAAATCTTGTGATCCATTTGGAGGAATGCTCATTAATAATGAAGAATGTTTCGAGAGCTTCTCTGTCAGTTTTTTTTCGTGAATTTGTCTCTGCGAGTTAACACAAATGAGAGCATTTCTTTCTCTGACTCAGTCTCTGAAGTTTGGGATATTAAATTCTACCATGTTAAATTATTGGATGGGCTACTAGACGGGATTCGATTGCGGCGAGAGATGACAGGAGCTAGGACAAGAATAGGAGTACGAGATCGGGTTGAAAGGATAGATGAGGGTTGCTCATGAATATAATAGAAATCCCTATCCATTGATTCTCAAGAACCGGGGGAGCGCTCGTAAGATCTACGAGGAGCAAGATGCTGCAGACCAATTGAAGGGCTTCTACCAAGAACTATCAACGCCAGTTCTACTAGACGTCCACTTCAGTTATTCTGTAGATGCGGTACAGATGGACACCCTCAGTAAAACTCACTTCTACAATTACTTCCAGGTAAACTTAGTAATAAAGTATCTTTATAGATTTTTCCTGCCTTTGCACTTAATACAAAAAACAGCAAGAATTTCTATTATTTAGACAAACTGCAGATTAAACTGATTTATGGAGAACAAATATGCTGTTTAATTGTATATCAAGGATCACAACTGCCTCTTTATTACATATATTAATAGATGAATAGTAAGTAAATATGTATTTGAATGAAATAATATACGTATTTGCTTTCAATTATTTTAATGACTTTATTTTAAAAAGTCACACAGGAAATAAAAATGAAAGAAATCTATAATGACTATTCAAGATCTTTTCCCACATTATTAATTTACTATAATGCATAACAAGTCACAGATTGTGAATATTTTGCTCGATAACCAACTCCTCGTATAAAAAAAAAATTATTTATAGGAACTTTTGCCACTAATTGTATTCGACATTCAACTTCTTGTAAACAAGATATGAATTGGATATAATACCACTCAATTTTTCCGATAACCAACCCTTCGTATTAAACAAAGATACACATTAAATGTATCATCACAGTGTGAAACAGGCACTTAACCGATTATCAAGACATTTATTAAGGATATGTTTCGCCACTGGACTGAAGGAGTCCCAGGTGGGTGTAACGTATCCTCGATAAATGTCTTGATAATAACATACATGTCTTTCTCATATACTTGTCGGTGGTGATCAACAAAGTTGACGGATCATTCATCTTTCTCAACAACCAGCGCCTGATGTTTAAAAGGTCATATATTAATTGTTTTGCCACTCACTTTTTTCCCCTCACCACCAATGTATCAAAATTTAAAGAAGTCAAACATAATTTCGTATCTTTTTAGGGTACAGAGCTTGTAGTAACAGGACAGACAGAGCATGACCAGCTAGGAGGCATCCGCGCTAATATCACTGGTCAGGGACGCAATGGAGAATTTTTCATGGGTGTGACAGACTGGAACACTGTTGTTTCCCCTGACCACCACCTCCTGGATCACTTGCATCTTGCCCCAACACCCAGAAACTTCATTAAAAGGTTATGGGCTTTTTTGAAAATTAAGGTAATATGGCACTACTTATAGTACTTATAAGAGAAAAGGTTTTTGCTGTTTATTAGCAGATATTCACACACACACACACACACACACACACACACACACATATGAATGTATTAATCTAGGGAAAAAAATGTGAATGACTTTTAGTGGTGTCATTCTCTTATTGATGTTTTTATTTTCCAGTAAAATAAATAGTTAAGTCAGAGTACAGTAATGCATTGCTAAGTACTCGAGTTCTTGTTCAGCCGTTCAATCGTACTCAATGTGAACAAGCATGTAAACAAAACAGAAAACGACCAGTGAGCGAGTAGCGCTGTAGTACTGGACTCAGCGGTGCTATGGGTCTGACAGATTATTATTATTGTTAGATTCATAAAATGCACTTAAATTAAATGGATAATACAGAGCCAAACCGGAGAAATGTGCAAGAGACAGTTAAAATCTTGTAACAAGCCAGTTTCGCCAAAAAAATAATGAAGAGTATCTACAATGAAAGTGGGACTGTTTGAGAGGGAGAGCAAAGTGTCTGGGTGTTAAAAAAGTGTTTGGAAGTAGTAAACCCTGTTAAATGTTATTTGAAGATAATCAGGGGATTATCATCCTTATGGCCCTATCTCAGCCCAGGCTTTCTAGGATGGAAAGAAAATATTACAGAATTAAGAACTATTAAGAAATATATAGGAATGTAATGGTATGTGTACAGTGATTATCAGTTCCTCCAGAGTGCACAAAAAAAAAATTCACCCCACACTAATTTTGATAAGACAATAGTGCCTCAAAATGTTTGTTGTGTACTAATCTACTACGTATTTGTTATCATATTTTGATAGACAGGACAATCAATCAAAAGATGTAGATGGTAATGAAGCATAGAGCCCTAAAATAACGAGGGCAGAGCTGACAGAAGCAGGACGACGACTCGTCTGCCCAAAGATTTAGATTTGAGATTTTGCCGCTGAAGTTGCTAGTTTATTGTGCACTCTATATCCATTCTGTGGAGGGTAGCACAAGAACATATGGGTATACTGACCTAGGAACTAGGCCCCATGAGGGGTTCACAGGATTACATCTGGATTTATATCGACAGTTAACTTACCTACTGCAAGCAAATTTAGAAAATTTAATTAGTATGTGTGGTGTTTTATTTTCATAATAAAATATCTTGACATGTCGCATAGGTTATCATACTATCCCTATATTCTTCAATAATTAGACAAGCATAGTGTTCAACATAGTGACCATAAGGCTGGCCACATACTTTGTATTTGGTTTCATCATGTGTGTGTCTGCCAAACATACTTGTAACCAAGCCTGTCTACTACAACCCCAGTTAGTCTGCTCAGATTGTAAGTTGCTCCATAAACGTACTTATCTACATTCATATTATAATAGATTCACTCAGGCTTCTAGCTGCATTCCTATAACATTCAGTTTTACTATTTATTTCTCTCCTAATATTATTCCTAGTGCTAGACACAGACACAACAAAGCCCTAAGAACGAAGGACAAGAACCTATCAAGAGTGAGCTGGAACCAGCGTCTACCCAGGAAGGAGCTCACTCCATCATTCATACGCCTGAGTAAAACATGGCCATGCTGGTCTCTTAAGATGGTTACCACTGTCAAGCATATTCAGACTTTCGTTCTTTTTTATTTACATTTATTACCTCGACAATTTAGTCGCTTTTTTGTAAATATCAGTTATTTCTCCACCAAGACCCCTAAAGCAACCTCAAAAAATAAAACACATTCACCATTGCTCGCCTAATTGTTTTTCCTCAAGTGAATAAGACATCACAATCCTACCACTCACTGGTTTGCAACATTAGACTTTGAAAATGCACACACTGCAATTAACACTTAAAAATATTAAGTCTGTTAAGTGGTTTTTCCTGAAACCTTTCATAAATAACACTTTTGTTAACGTGATGCTCTGGTGCAAAATGCGGCATCTATTAGCATGACCATCTACTAGACAATACTAAGAGGTCAACTTATTGATCCTCGTCTAGCATCTAGCATTTTTCTAGCACTGTTACAGTTTATTATTAAGAATTCAAACCCTATAATCCTGTACTTCTCATAGAACTTTAAGACTGTCTACTGGATTACAACTGATTGAAATCATACCACTAGAAAAACAAAAGTCTGAGAACTTCAATATCAAAAAGGTGTCTAGGTTTAATATTTATAGTTAAATGCTTGGTGTTAAAATCTCTTGGAGCACAGCTTCAGTAAATTAGTGTTCTGAACAGTTAATTTAACTGTACTATCAGCACTCTACCTATGATATGGTACATAAAACACTCTCAAGCAAATTGTACCATGTACAAACTGTTCCATTTGTACATGGCTATTGTCTTCCTATTTTCTCTGTAACTTGGTGGCATGGTCGTGCCTCTGCATGGAACCTCTCACCTTCTCTACCTTCTCCCCAGTCACTTACTGCTATCCCTACTCACAACAACTCTTCCCCTTCATTCCTCGGCTTTGCTTGGTGGACTGATAGGGCCTTAGCATAAGTCTTGTCTCCTTCCTTTCCGTTCGGCTTCTCGTTCAGTAGGAGTGTACCTGCTTCAGATGCTATGTCCTGTAACTCGCTTCAGCATAGTTACCTCATATTGTAGGGCCCTTATCCTGGCTTCTGTGTGTGTATGTGTACTCACCTAATTGTGGTTGCAGGGGTTGAGACTCAGCTCCTAGCCCCGCCTCTTCACTGATCTCTACTAGGTCCTCTCTCTCCCTGCTCCATGAGCTTTGTCCTACCACGTCTTAAAGCTATGTATGGTTCCTGCCTCCACTACATCACTTGCTAGACTACTCCACTTCCTGACTACTCTATGACTGAGTCTTCAACGTGTCTCCTCTCTGGAACATCCTGTCTCTGTTCACCTCGTCTATTCCACGCAGAATTTTGTATGTCGTTATCATGTCTCCCCTAACCCTTCTGTCCTCCAATGTCATCAGGCCGAATTCCCCTAACCTTTCTTCGTAGGACATTTCCCTTAGCTCTGGAACTAACCTTGTCGCAAACCTTTACACTTTCTCTAATTTCTTGACGTGCTTGACCTGGTGTGGGTTCCAAACTGGTGCTGCATATTCTAGTATGGGCCTGACGTACACGGTGTACAGTGTCTTGAACGATTCCTTACTAAGGTATCGGAACGCTATTCTCAGCAGTTACCTGGTTGATGTGTGCTTTCGGAGACGTGCTCGGTGTTATATTCACCCCAAGATCTTTCTCCTTGCGCGAGGTTTGCAGTCTTTGTCCACCTAGCCTATACTCTGTCTGAGGTCTTCTTTGCCCTTCCCCGATCTTCATGACTTTGCATTTGGCAGGGTTAAATTCGAGAAGCCAGTTGCTGGACCAGGTGTCCAGCCTGTCCAGGTCTCTTTGAAGTCCTGCCTGATCCTCATCTGATTTAATTCTCCTCATTAACTTCACATCATCTGCGAACAGAGACACCTCTGAGTTTATCCCTTCCATCATGTCATTCACATATACCAGAAATAGCATTGGTCCTAGGATCGACCCCTGTGGGACCCTACTCATCACAGGTGCCCACTGTGATACTTCATCACGTACCATGACTTGTTGTTACCTCCATGTCAGGTATTCTCTGATCCATTGCAGTGCCCTTCCTGTTATACACGCCTGATCCTCTAACTGCTGCACTAATCTCTTGTGAGGAGCTGAGTCAAAGGCCTTCTTGCAGTCCAAGAAAATGCAATCAACCCACCCCTCTCTCTCGTGTCTTACTTCTGTTACTTTGTCATAAAACTCCAGAAGGTTTGTGACACAGGATTTGCCTTCCATGAATCCGTACTGGTTGTTGTTTATAACCTTGTTCCATTCCAGGTGCTCCACCACTCTTCTCCTGATAATCTTTTCCATGACTTTGCATACTATACAGGTCAGTGACACAGGTCTATAATTTAGTGCCTGTTTTCTGTCTCCTTTTTAAAATGGGAACTACATTTGCGGTCTTCTGTACCTCAGGTAGTTGCCCAGTTTCATGGGATGTGTTGGAGATTGTGGTTAGTGGCACACACAACGTATCTGCTCCCTCTCTGAGGACCCACCGGGAAATGTTGTCCGGTCCCATTGCCTTTGAGGTATCAAGGTCACTTAGCAGCTTCTTCACCTCCTCCTCAGTTGTTTGTATGTCATCCAACACGTGTTGCTATATTCCTTTTTGGTGCCCCCTCTGTCCTGTCTTCCCAGAGCCCTTCCTGTCTCCACTGCAGATATTTCCTTAAATATCGCGTTGAGCTCCTCACATACCTCTTGATCGTTTCTTGTGAGTTCCCCACCTTCTTTCCTTAGCCTGATCACCTGGTCTTTGACTGTTGTCTTCCTCCTAATGTGGCTGTGTGTGTGTGTGTGTGTGTGTGTGTGTGTGTGTGTGTGTGTGTGTGTGTGTGTGTGTGTGTGTCTGTGTGTGTGTGTGTACTCACCTATTTGTGGTTGCAGGGGTCGAGTCTTAGCTCCCGGCCCCGCCTCTTTACTGGTTGCTACTAGGTCCTCTCTCTCCCTGCTCCATGAGCTTTATCAAACCTCGTCTTAAAACTATGTATGGTTCCCGCCTCCACTACTATTCCACTGCCTGACAACTCTATGACTGAAGAAATACTTTCTAACATCCCTTTGACTCATCTGACTCTTCAACTTCCAATTGTGACCTCTTGTTTCAGTGTCCCCTCCCTGGAACATCCTGTCTTTGTCTACTTTATCTATTCCACTCAGTACTTTATATGTCGTTATCATGTCTCCCCTGACCCTCCTGTCCTCCAATGTCGTCAGGCCGATTTCACTTAACCTGTGTGTATGTGTATGTGTATGTATGTGTATGTGTGTGTGTGTGTGTGTGGGTGGGTGTGTGTGTGTGTTTGTGTGTGTGTGTGTGTGTGTGTGTGTGTGTGTGTGTGTGTGTGTGTGTGTGTGTGTGTGTGTGTGTGTGTGTGTGTGTTTCTCTCACTCTCTCACTCTCTGTCTCTCTTGTGTCTCTCTCTCTCTCTCTCTCTCTCTCTCTCTCTCTCTCTCTCTCTCTCCTCTCTCTCTCTCTCTCCTAGTTCTCGTGTTGACTACTTAGAACGTGATTGACAAAACAAATCCCTCAGTAAACTAACTGGCTCATACGAAAGCAATAAAACGTTTTGCTGGAAATTTAAGAGAAGCGGCCAGTTTACCAAACAGCAAAAAGTTCAATGTATCCATGAGGTGAAGCTGCGTTCAGCAACTTGTCAAACCGCGACTACGACAGTGCAGAAATACCAGTCAGAACCAGGTAGATCTTGAGTTAGACACGGGACTTTAAGCATGGAATTTGTTTCAACAACATCAGAAATCACTAGCTCTAAATTAGGCTCTGTGACTAGAGTTGCACAGAGTTACAAGATGTATGTTCCAGTTCACAAAAACATACATAGACTACCGGAAAAAAGTCTAAATGATACAAACACAAGAGTATAGTGTTCTCTCAGACAGTAGAAAAAGTAGGGAGGTTTTGCATCAACTGGTTCCAGCCAGAGATGCATAAGGAACGCTGTAGGTGCGTGACTACACGCCCCAGCAAACAGCAGTCAAGTAGCTTCCAACGTGGGTAGCCAATGAAAACTCTATTAGTGCAGTGTAATGGTCGCATCCTACCTACAGACGTAGCTAAAGTTGCATGACAGCTATTAATATTAAGCATGGTATTTTCACTTTAACGTTTAACGAAAATAGCATCAGCAATATATCAGTTGAAACAGTCATTATCGCGTCACTTTTCTGAGGAGGTTACAAGCTCTATGAGGCACACACATGTAAACTCTTTACAAGTCTTTTATATCAGATGAAATGTTTACAGACAGATTCTAGTTTATAAAATTCCAGTACTTTATTTTATGCTGTCTTTTTGTATATCTAAATTTTAAGAGTTGTATTAAGACCTCTGAAAACTTTCTTTTAAGTTAGGACACAAATTATGAATAACCTAATGAAATAATGTAAATTTTCTGGAGCATCATAAGAATTACAAGTGATCATGTTTTTCAGGATTTTCTGGAGGAGGCCAAGGCCGCTCGAGGTCCACATGAGAAAGCAACTGCACAGAAGAAAGCTCTTGTTATTGCTCTGGAGGTAATGGCATCCCACCTCTCACAACACTCTTGAAACATTTAAATTATATCAATATTTTGATGCTGATAAGTTCACAATAAATTAGAAAAGCACCAACAGTAATTTTGTTTTGTTTTGTTTTGTTTTGTTTCGGATGTACAAATATCATTTACATCTCCATTCCAGTGTTATGTATAGACCGTGAAATACAGTTTGGGAAAACCACTAATAACACTGACATAGACACAGTATCATTGAGCTATAACACATGGTCTCTTTTCAGCTGGAATGAGAAGTGTCTCCAAGGTATAATGGGAACCTTCTCTCTATCTCTCTCTTTCTCTCTCTTTTTTACACAGGGTTTGACTAGGTTAAGGATCCCTAGCTTTATTGACAAGCTATTTACAGGTTAAGGATTCCTAAACTTTATTGGCAAGCTAAGAGCTGTTACCTACATCAGCTCATTTGACATTATACTGTACGAATGTGTTCCATACTCGAGTCATCCTGGGTATATATGATCTCAGATGGAGTGATGTTCTGGAGAAGGGTATAGCCAGAATGAAGTTGCTGCATTCTGCCCATCTTGTGGCATAGAAGCTTGTTTCACGCTGTCCTCGAAGAGGATCCAAGTGAGGTACTTTGACAATATTGGCCTTGTACATAACAGTAAGGCCACCCACATCCCTCCTGTGTTGAAGGCTCTGCTGAAATGACAGATCTATCCAGGATTGGTCCAGGCGAGAGATGAGACGTCTTGCTCTGTTCTCTACTCTGTCAAGCAGTCGCAGATGAGAGGGGGGGCAGGCGAACCAAGAATGTGGAGCATACTCAAAGTGTGAGCGTACTTGTGCCTCGTACAGAATCTTGCAACCCCTACTGTCAAACAGATGTTAGATACGGCGAAGTGCTGTAAGCTTCCTGGCTGCCTTGTTTGCAAGATTTACAACATGCCTCTTCATGGTCAGTTTGGAGTCAAATTTCACCCCAAGGATATCAACTTCTTCCCTAGGTGCCAACACCCTCCCATTCATCCTTACTACTGCACCAGCATTACCATCATGGTGCCTAGCGGCCATCATCATTTGCATTTTCTCAGGTGCAAATGTTACTTGCCATCTATTTCCCCAAGCTGATATAGCTCTCAGCTGGTGATTGATGTAGCTTAGAGCAGTTGGCATTTCTTCTCTTAGATAAGTGAAAGTCAGTGTGCAGTCGTCTGTATATGCATGGGATTCTTGGATGAGATGAAGAAGGTCATTGAAGTAGACATTCCATAACAATGTTCCCAGCACGCTTCCTTGTGGAACACTTACCCCAATAGGATGTCTTGCTGATTCCGTTCCATTGAGAACTACCCTTAGAGATCTACCATGAAGGTAATCACTTAAGTGACATAGCGTAGAGCCTGCAATTCCCAGTACTTGAAGTTTTGCTAAGAGGCCCTGGTGCCACACCCGGTCGAAAGCACCAGCAATGTCCAGTGCTACCACACAGCTGACTTTGGATTCATCCAGTGACTGGTGCCACTTAGTGGAGAGGTTTAACAACAGATCAGCAGCAGAGTAACCTTTCTTGAAGCCATATTGACGATCACAAAGTAGTGAGTGGTAGTCAAAAAACTCTGTCATTTGTCTTGAGATTATTGTCTGAAGGATCTTACCAATGATTGACAGGAGTGACACTGGTCTGTAGTTGCTGATTTCTGTTCTGCTCTTCTTTTTGTGAACAGGGACTACATTTGCCTCTTTTCACAGAGAGGGTCATTTACACTGCACTAGGCAGTGCTGAAAGATGCGAGTTAGAGGTGCTGCTAGCTGGTCTGCACATCTCAGCAATCTTGGGCTCAACTTGTCTGGGCCCACAGCCTTTTCATGGTCAAGCGATTTAAGAAGGAAATGCACCTCCTCCTGCCTTTTTGTCACCACTGATAGTTTTGACACAGTTCTTGCAGCTAGCCAAGGAGGGTCCCTTGCTGGATCAGGAACTTGCATTTTGGTAGCAAAGTGTTCAGCAAAGAGGTCCGCCTTCTCTTGACTACTAGAGGTGGTCCCATCCTGTCGATTTAGAGGTGGAATGATTTCATCAGGCAGATAACCTTATCTGTCCTTGACCAGGGACCACCAGGTTTTGGAGCCTACCCTACCTGATGCTAGCTCTCTTTTTGTGTCCACCTCCCATTTAGCAATGGCCCACTTTTGAACGTCGCCCATATGCCTACAGGCTTGCCTGTGCAAGTTCCTGTTATAGGTGGTAGGATGTCTCTTATACCTTCGCCATGCTTTGTACTTAGCAGTAGCAGCCTCTCTACAACAGAAGCCAAACCAAGGCTGATCTGTAGGCTTCGTCGCATATTGCCGGTGAGGAATGTGTTCTTGTTGTAGATTAAGGATGTGTCCAGTGAAGGCTTTCACTTGGTTGTCAACATCCCCTTGGGAAGAGCATTCCAGTCGTTGGTGGCGAGCTCAGAGCAAAAATCTGACCAATTACCTCTTTCCCATAGCCAGGTTGTGCGTGTGGACTCCTCACCTCGTTCTGTTGGGATCTTAAGTATCGTAAAAGCAGCCTTGTGGTCATATGATCCAACGTAGCCGAGGGGTTGACAAGTGACTATACCTTCTGCCAGATCACTCACTACTGGGTCAAGGGAGAGGATCCAGAGATGTGAGTAAGGCAATCAACAAAGTTTCTCATGTCAAATTCTGCAAGAAGGTCATCAATGTCCCTCTTTATAAGATGTTGGTTGAGGTCACCAACAATTATGATATGTTGACAGTTGTGTTGTAGCAGAAGGGAGTCCATATTTTCTATTAGGAAGTTTATAGGGTCTGCATGTTGCCACTGAGGTCTGTACATTGCACATGCTAGTACAGAGGTACTAGTGTTTATGCTGAGCTTGGAGAACATCATTTCAAGATGTGTAGGGGTCGCAACATCAATGTGCTGGGCATGTACACTTTTAGAGAAGCACACAGCAACACCTCCTCCTTGCCCTTGCCTGTCTCTTCTCATCCATGAGGTGTAGCCAGAAATTCTTGCAAAATTTTCTCTCCCTCTCTCTCCTCATTCCACCAAGAAATTCATATGATATGGAACAAAAATATTTGGTTCAGGTCTTTGTTAAGTGCAGTTGTTTCAATACTGAATGTCTCTGTCTGTACACACCACTGGATTGGAGCTGTAAATACTGTGTGCAAGACTCACTCAAGTTAAACACTGCAGTGAGGCATTCTTTTATTTGATAGTGTCTGGTGAGACTTTAACCCCTGTTAAATACTGGATGGGTGACCACAACATAAATTTTGAGTACAATCTTCCTATTTTTAAAATGGGCATACATAACAGTTTACTGTAGGAAAAAAATAAAATGTATTTGGTAGAATAGGCAAAGATAACGTCTTTAAACGTATAGAAAAATTTCACATTTTCTGAATGTAATAATGTGAGGAAGGATAACCTTTCCCAGTGAGCAGTACAAGATCAGCAGAGGGGAGACAAAGTCTTCACCAATAATATTAATGATTTAAAAACCTGGGTCTACTAACCTCACGAACATGATGCCCACGGACGTGAGGCTCACGGACGTGAGGCTCACGGACGAAAGGCGCATGGTCATATGGCAAGCACATTATTTCATATCTCTCCCTATAAAAAGATATCATCACATCCTTTACTGAAAATTGGGGTTATGACAGGCCCCATTGTTGCAAAAATGGGACAAATAACAATGTCTAGACTCACTAGGAGTTCTCGATATAATTCTCTGATACAGTGGTGATGGTCTGGTTTTACACCACCGCTGTCAGCTGTGGTGAGATCTGCTCTAACATCATTTGTTGTCAAAATGTGAAAACATTTGGTGCATCGCGAGCCATATCAGTGAACGTGAATGCAGTTTTCCTCAAGCTTGTAAACATTAACATACCATAGCTCTTCTCTTAAACATGACACCAACTCTAAAGGGGGTTTATAAATTTCAAGAGGAACCAGGGACTCCCCAAGATTCACTACAATGAGGCATATTAGGAGTGGCAATATTCTGGGTCACAACTCACTACCAGCGAATTTTTTAAAGTCATCATCATCTTCTCTTAAAGAGCAAAAAGTTACAATACCTTGACTGGAGCAACACACAAATAACCCGCACATAGGTGAAAGAAACTTATGACAATGTCACCGTTAGTTTCTCCTATGTGCTGGTTATCTGTGCATCTTCCCTTAGCTGTGCTACAGTTTAAGTCACCAGCCATATTCAACACACTGCCTTGTGTGAACATCCATTTCTCCTGAATTTACACATCAGGCCACGGGGCACCGTGGCCTGATGTGTACACTAAACCATCAGTAAAATGGGTACCTGGGTGTTAGTCGACTGGTGTGGGTCGCTTCCTGAGGCAAGGACCTAATTTGCCCGAAATGCTCAGCATAACAAGCGTCTTTCTATATAGTAGTATGTCACTGATGTCAGCTAGGACTGTATACCTTGTACATGTACTTGTAGTAAATAAAGATATTATTATCATTAGTTTTTTTTTTAAATAAATAGGGAGGTACCACCTCTAGAACTTATATTGTAGTGGGTGAGGGCTGGGATGTTTACTCTGCGCAGCCACCTTGAAGAAAAATAGTATAAAATACTGACACGATGGGAAAATGGAGCAACAAACAGAGGCGTCGTAAGAGGAGGGCGAGGAGGGGGGGGGGTGGCGGTCCGCCCCGGGTGACACCATTTAGGGGATGACATCATAGAGCCTCTAAAGAAGGTGACACTAATGCCCAAAACAGTGCTGCACCAACATAAGAGAAAAATCTTTCGTTTCTGTATAGCCTATTATATGATTACAGAGTACAAATAAGCCTAAATAGGGAAAATCATTGATTTTGATGATATGATAGATGATTTTGCAGGATTGAAGGCAAGGAAATGTAAGATCAGATTCACTGAGATGTTACCTGTACTCAAGTTCAAATTGGGACAAGTGTTTCTCTGATATTGCAATGTTTTTTTTCATTTTTCAGTTTTTTTGTTTTTTGCATTGTTGAAGATGAATAAATGTAGGATCTGTTGCCTGTACTCAAAGTGGTATTTAGTTAGTTTAATATGTTTATTATGCACCCCATACCCATCCTGTGGGCGGTAGTCAAAAGATTACAGAGGTACATAATTGGTCCAGGGACTGGACTCCAAAGTTTTGATAGCTGAGCAAGTTACAGAGGTAATGAACTCACAATTTACAAAGGTAATGAACTCACAATTTACAAAGGTAATGAACTCACA